ACCCTTCAAGTCGTCGGTTTCGGAAGGATATCAAAATCAAGTGTCAAAGCAACATACTCAACATATAGTGTTTCGCCACACGGATTTTCAACATACGCGTGCGCGCGCGCTCTTGCGAATTCCAGTGATAACCACGTTTTTTTTTGTTTTTCCCTTTCTTTCTGCCCCCCAGCATTTTCATACCATGCTACCAAACGGGCTTCGAGCGCGCGCATGTCGAAATCGTTCGAACGCCCTTGCGCGCGTGCTGGGGTGGCACTATCCGTGTCAAATAATACCATGCGGGCCACTCGCGCGTTTGCCGCGCGCGCATTTCGGAATCCTTTCAAAACCTTCATCACCGACGCGAAAACGCCGTCATCGTCGTCGGCGTGATCGGCATCGGCGCCGTCACTGGCCGTGCCGTCGTCGCTGTCAACATCGTCACCAACATCGCTACCATCATCATCATCGGCACACCCGCCCAAGTCGCCGATTCGCAGTGAAGTGCCCGCTGGGATGTGCCGAGCGGTCAGCACCACCGCGGCCGCGTCGGTCGCGCCAGACTACCTGGCCGCTGCGCGCGCGCATGCGCGGGTTGGCGCGGCCGCAGAGATGTACCAACCAGCGCCAAACAGTCATCGCAATCGCCACCGCATGAAGTTTGCACACCAAGTTGCAGGTGGGTGGGTGGGATGATTGTGCGAGCAGTGGAATGGACAAGTCAGTGCGAACATAAATTAATTGCACCACGTATATTGCACCATTGCACCGCGTAGGCTGCATTGCATAGATTGCACCGCGTCCTGTGCGCCGCGTAGATTGCATTGCGTACGTTGCATCGTATACACTGCAGTACGTGGAGTGCACCGCATAGGCTGCAAAAACCTATTGTTTGGGTTCCGCGTTGGCTCACATTTTTTGGAGGAGGAGCACACGAAGGAAGAGGAGGGACGAGGAGGAGAAGGAAGAGGAGAACGACGACGACGATGGCGGCGGCGGCGGCGTCGGCGTCGGCGACGACAACGACGACGAACCCTGGCGCCATCTGAAAATGGCCGACGCAAAAACCGTCCCCAAGAAAAGGTCGAACCCTTAGGGGCCTGAGCTGTGAAACATCTTTCAGGGGCTTTGGGGGCTCGCCACGGGGCTTTCCCAGAGGTTGTGAGGCTTCTCCCAAAGGTTTCAGGCCACCCAGGCGTCGTGACACCTAGAAGTAAGGCCTGGGCAGGGGGATTGCGAAGGCGATGTACCATCCAGGCTGGACATGTTGAAATGCCTCGGGAAAGGTGTTGTCTCATGAGCAGGGAATTATCATGATGGATGCATGCTGTACGTAGAAGCGGATATCATATACGGATTACATGATTGTTGTTGCTGCTGCTGCTGCTCTTGTTGTTGTTGTTGTTGTTGTTTTTGTTGTTGTTGTTTTTGTTTTTGTTGTTGTTGTTGATGTTGTTGTTGTTGTCGTCGTCGTCGTTGTTGTTGTTGTTGTTGTTGTTGTTGTTGTTGTTGTTGTTGTTGTTGTTTAGTTGTTGTTGTAGTAGTTGTTCTCGTCGTCGTTGTCGTCGTTGTTGGTGATGTTGTTGTTGTTGTTGTTGTTGTTGTTGTTGTTGTTGTTGTTGTTGTTGTTGTTGTCGCTGTTGTTGATGTTGTTGCTGATGCTGTTGCTGCTTTTGTTGCTGCTGTTGCTGTTGCTGTTGCTGTTGTTGCTGCGGCTGCTGCAGTTGCTGTTGCTGTTGTCGTCGTCGTCGTCGTTGTCGTCGTCGTCGTCGTTGTCGTTGTCGTTGTCGTTGTCGTTGTCGTCGTCGTCGTCGTCGTCGTCGTCGTCGTCGTCGTCGTCGTTGTTGTTGTTGTTGTTGTTGTTGTTGTTGAACATTATTTCTTCTAAAGAATAATTATTGTTGGGCCCCCTGGTGCGCGCCCCCCCTGCGCCGCCTAGGCCGCAGCTACATTTTCATCATTTTCGTGAGGAAGCCTCAGAAAAGAGGGTGTGTACAGGATCCGGTTGTTTTGTTGTAATCCGCTTTCCCTTGCAAAAAACAATAGAAAATGACATTTCTTGTTCTAATATAATCAAATTTCAAGAATCCCTTGCAAAAAATAAGGTAAAGTGGACATTCGCGCGCGCAAGACGAAATCCTTCCAAAACCTTAGTGTTCGCAGCGATTTTAACATAAAAACATCAAAAAACCAATGGTTTTTCAACAACAAAATTGTCAACATCTCATCCCGCGCGCTCTTGCGGATTCGTAGGAAACCCAACACTTTTTAAACATTTCTGTCAAACGGGCTTTTGCGAGCAACTTTTTCGAACTTCTCCGACAACGGTTGCGCACCTGCCAGGGCCATCATCCCTGTCAAATAATACCATGCGGGACACAACATCGGGACAAATCTCGGGACAGTCATCCGGACAACGATCGTGACAACCACAACCATCAGGACAACCATCGGGACAACCATCGAGACAACCATCGGGACAACCATATCCTCTCTCTCTTGTGTATTCCCACATCCCTCAGGAATTTGCCCTAAAGATGTGATCAACTATCTTGTGAGTACGTATCATGTGTATCATGTGTAATCTGTACCATATGCATCATATGCAGCAGATGTTCTGTGGAGGCTTAACAACTTCTGGGGTTAACAAGGCTTAACAACTTCTGTGGGTGTACGAACGTAGGCTTAACAACTTCTGTGGGTGTGTACTCCACGCCAGTGTAGTAGCCACGGTCGTCCGCAGGCCACGAAGTGAAGTGTCCGAACGTCATAGGGCGGGAAGCTGGGTGTGGGTGGTGGCGAAGAGTCGTGTGGATATTTGGTAGAGCTTGCACTGCCCCCCCACAAAGTGGGGGTATTGGCTGGCGTCGCATGAAAACCCTGGCACTGGTGAGAACACTGAGCGTTCGGGTAAAGTGATTGTTGTTGTTGTTGTTGTTGTTGTTGTTGTTGTTGTTGTTGTTGTTGTTGTTGTTGTTGTTGTTAATTGTCGTCGTCCACCCTGCGACCTGGCCCGCAACCCACCCGCGACCTACCCGCGACCCACCCGCGACCCACCCGCGACCCACCCGCGACCCACCCCGCGACCCACCCGCGACCCGCCCGCGATCCACCCGCAGCCCACCCGCGACCCGGCCCGCGACCCATCCGCGACCCACCCGCCACCCACCCGCGACCCACCTTGCGACTCACCCACATTGCTTCAACGAAAATCGGCGCCTGCGGCGGGATCACTGCATATTTTGAGAGCGCCTGCGGCTGGCTTGTCAGAGCCTCGCAAAGTTGCCGACGTCCTCGCCGGCCTCTCGCTTTTCTCCGCAGGTGTGGGGTGCTACGTGTGTATGTGTGAAAGAGTGTGCTCTACCGCTGCTGGCGGAAAACCTGGGGGGGGGTCACTGGGGGTTCTAACCCGTCCCCCCCCCCTCTCGAAAACCGGAGGGGGGTCACTACCGAGGGCGCGTGGGCAGCGGACACCGCGTGGCGTGGCCGCATCCAGGGCTCGCGCCTGGCGCAAGCGACACACTCGCCCTGGCGTTGTGGAGGGGCGCCCTGGAGGAGCTGCCCAGCGGCGGCCGCAGCCGCCTCGGCATGGCGGCCGACACCTGCTTTGGCCGGCTCCCTCCGCTGCCTCGTTGCTCAGTGGCCGGCCGTCGAGTCCGCCCTCGCTGCCCATGGGCACCAGGTTGCGGCCAGCAGAAATACCGCGTGCCGGTGCCCGCCCGGGACGCGGCCGAGCGGCGAGGCGATGTGCACGTTGATCCGTCAGTGGACGTCTTCTTCGCCAGCGTGCCTCGTTCGAATGGCAGCCTGCCCATGTCTGGTGCTGCCGCGCAGGGCACCCTCGAAGCCACGCTCGGCCCCTTCGTGGCCGCCGCGGGGCCCGCTGCCAGGCGCGTGGGCGTGGCGCTTTCTCTCCTCGCCGCCTTGAGGGGCACGGTGGAGGCGCGCGTCCACGACCGGGCAGACCAGGTCGCGTGGACCATCGTCCGCCAGTCCGTCGGGCGGGCTGTCAAGTGTAGCATGCGGCTGTGTCTTATAGACAGCCATGGGAAGCTCATACCAAACGCTCGTCGGACGAGCGCTTTTTCTGGCGCGGGAGGAACTCGTTGGGGTGGCCATAGAGACGAGCTCGCCAGGGTGCAGGCCACTCTGCCCGGGGCAGCGGCCGGCCTGACGTTTACCTTGGCTCCGCCCCTCCGCCCGGCGGCAGCTTTAGGGGGCCACATGCGAACCCTACCCCTACCCCCCGCGATTTCTGAGGGGGAGGGTGGGGTAGGGTTCGCATGTGGCCCCCTAAGCTTACCACGCCGCCAGGGCTGCACACCGGGCGCTGGTGCAGCAGCTCGCTGCGGAGAGCCGGCGCGCCCCGCGTGCGGCGGCAGGGCGGGCTGGGGGGCAGCTGCGGAGCGAGGCGGCCGCGGTCGCGGCTCTGCCGGCGGGCGGGGCCGAGGTGCGGGCAAGCTGTCCCGGCGTTGGCGGCGGTTGCGAGGAGGCAGTGCGAGGGGGGCCCATGGCGAGAAGATCAGGGGAACAAAAGTGACATAAACATAAAATCTCGGAGGTCCGCGCGGATTTCTCGGATCGGCGCTGGTGCCCGCCGGCGGCGCCTCCGGCGCCGCCCCTGGCGCGCTCCGCGCGCCAGGGAGGGGGGTCCAGCGCCGATCCGAGAAATCCGCGCGGACTTCCGAGTTTTTGTCATTTTTTGTTTCCCTAAAGATACCCCAGCCGCGGCCGTGTTTGCCAGCCAGCGCGGGGGTGCGGCGGCGGAGCGGGCGATGCCAGGGGCTGACGCGGGAGGCGGCGCTGGAGGGCTAGAAAGTTGTAGCTTGGATACCGATGCGCTATGCTGTTCGAGCGGGAGGGGGAGGGGGAGGGGGAGAGGGTCAGGAGGGGAAGGACGGGGGGGACACTGCTTTACTATACCCCGAGAGGGAGGGGCGAGGGAGATAAACACACAATGAAGGGGAGGACGGGTGAGGAACGGAGAGGAGTAGATTGCGGATGGGGCCTTGCCACGCCAGGGGGTCTGCTGGCACGCGGCGGTGCTCCGCCCAGGCCCGGGGAGGGCCGCAGCCAGGTTGGGGGTCCAGGGCGGGGCGAGAAGGGTCATGATGATACGAGTAGTGATCGTAGCGAGGATGAGGAGGAGGCGTGGATGCGGGCAGGCAGGGAGGAGAAGGGGCCTGAAGCCCAGACGAGTCGTCAGAGAAGCAGTGGGAGCAGAAGAGAACTGAGGAGGCGGCACAGGAGGGTGGGAGGAGGCAGAGGAGGACGAAGGTGACAAGGATGACGATCAAGATGCGAAGGATGATGATGCTGCTGCTGATGATGATGGTGATGATGAGGGTGATGATGATGATGATGATGATGATGATGATGATGATGATGATGATGATGATGATGATGACGATTCTGATTCTGATGATGGTGATGATGATGGTGATGGCGATGGCGATGATGATGGTGATGGTTTTGATGATGATGACGACGATGGTGATGGTGATGATGATGATGATGATGATGATGATGATGATGATGATGATGATGACGATTCTGATTATGATGCTGTCGAGTATGATGGTGGTGCTGGGGATGTCGGCGATATATTCAAGCTTAGGATCCAACTCGCGGAATGCAAACTTCACTAGTGCATTGATGCAAGCGTTGTTTCAATATGTTGGGTGAGCAAACTCTACGTGCCGACCTGGCTGGTGACCTTTCAAATGTTCACGGATCGACATTGGACTGCATGACGAGTGTAAGTAGCAACCTTGGGCTCGCATCTGCGTGGGCGTGGTGAACTGAAGGAGATCCCACCAAACATGCACGCTACCAATGAGCTGCCGTGGTGACGCTCGGTGGCCCAATCAATGATTACCATCATCGCTAGGTCTTTCATCATATCTACCTCTAGTCCAATCTCGTTCCCATTCGCCCAGTCTTCGCGCTCCTAGTCCTCGCCCTTGTTCTCGTCCTTGTCCCCCCTTCTCTCCACTACTCTCCGTTTTCTGGACTGTTTTTTTTTTGTTTCCTCCTCCTCCCTGATGCCCTTTCTCACCCCCTCATTCTTGTCCATGCTATCGTCGTTATTCTCCTTCCCCTCCTCTTTATTTCCTTACCTGCTCTTATTCGGCATGCCCCCTGGTGTATCCAGACGTGGCCATGAGGATGCCCCCC